TAACGCGCAATTAGGTCGGTAAGTTAGATCTCTGAATGCGATTAATTATGATATTGAAAGATTTAATGGAAAAAATTCAAACGCGAATTTTGAAAAAGAATGTGAACAATGCAGCATAGGAAGATTGGAAGATTGGAAAAAAACTTTTATGATACATTTTCTAGTAAAGGAAGACCAACCAATAAGATATGCAATGTCATTTAAATATCAAACCGGCTCCATGCTTGATTACGCACTAAAAAAAGAAAAACTTTTATTAGAAGTAAGAAAGCCCATTGATGATGGAACACTGATAGATTTAATCGCTATTGGCTTGCCAAATTTCGTAGCTGATAGAATTGACAGAGAGAAACTAAAGAAAACTGAAGACCTACATAATGAAATAGGTGAATTGGAACATTTAGCTTCTAAGAAAAATTTAGAAACAAAAAAATATAAAGTCAATAACAAAGACAAAAGCGAAGAGATACCTTGTAAACTCTACAAAAATAAAAACAAAGGTATTAGATTTCATCCTGAAACCGAATGCTGGTTCAAAGATAGAAAAAACGATGAAGAAAAAACAAAACACGTAAACAATTTTATATTAGAGGTAGAAGTGAATAATAATGATCCAAAAAACTAATAGTTCCACCATTAATTAGTCTCAAGGTAAAACTAAACAACATCTTAGAAGTATCTGCTATTTATGACGCAGGCTCAAATGTCTCATTGATAAATTCAAAACTAATACGTTTGAAACCAAAAAAGGACAACACGATGCAAAAGATTAACTTGAAGACAATTAATGGTGTATATAAATCAGATGGAATGATAACATTGAAAGCAAAAATATTAAATATACAAGGAAAGATAGATGTATTCATAATAAATAATGAAAATTTTAAACATGACTTTCTAGTTGGATTAGATTGTATAAAAAAATTCAAACTGATACAAAGTGAAAAACTGGAAATAAAACTGAAAACTAATGATTTAGAAGAAAAACAAGAAAGATATCAAATAAACTTCAATGAACATGTAGATCAAGAAAACTTTGAAATCTTGACAAATCACTTGAACCATCATGAAGAAAAAATGATAAAAAATCTTATAGAGAAATATAAAAATATATTTGCAAAAGACAAATACGATATAGGGACAGTAAAGGATTACGAAGCCAGAATAGATCTCATAGTAGATAAATATTGCAGTAAGAGACCATATAGATGCACAGTTGAAGACAAAAAGGAAATAGAGGAACAAATTTCTAAACTACTCAAAAGAGATTTAATCGAAGAATCATACAGCCCTTTTGCAGTCCCAGTAACACTAGCTTATAAAAAAGATGAAAACAGAAAATCAAGCTTATGTATAGATTTCAGAGACCTGAATAAGATAATAGTTCCCCTTTTACATTAATCGAAGATCTAGTAATAAAAATAAGAAATTGCAGATAATTTTCGAAACTTGACATAAACTCAGCGTTTTGGTTCATTCCTTTAAAGGTAGAAGACAGACGAAAAACTGGATTTGTAACCCCAGAAGGTCACTTTCAATGGACCTGTCTACCATTTGGACTAAAAACGTCACCAGCTATATTTCAAAGAATATTAAGTAACATAATAAGAAAACATAAATTATCAGATTTTGCAGTCAACTATAGGTATAGACGACATACTGATTTTTTCAAAAACCTTCTAAGAACACATTAATCATTTGTCGCAATTACTAGAAGCAATAATGAATGATGAAGGTTTCCGATTAAAACTTTCTAAATGTACCTTTGCCTTGGATTCCGTACAATATTTAGGACATGTAATAGGATACAATTCAATTTCTTCCCTAAAGGATAATTTGATTTCAATACGAAATTTTCCGGTTGCAAGAAATCAGAAAATTGTTCCACAATTCTTGGGGAAGATACATTTTTATAATGAATATGTACCGAAAATTTTTATTATTCTGGAACCACTACATAATTTATTAAGAAAAGGTCAAAAATTCACCTGGTCTACTGAATGTCAAAAAGCCTTTGAATACATGAAGAATTTCCTCTGCCAGCAGCCGGTCTTAGCTATTTTTGATCCGGAAATACCAATCCACATTTACACAGATGCAAGCTTACAAGGTACAGCAGCTGTAATGAAACAACCACAACTAAATAATAATTCGGAAATAGAAAAACCAGTAGCATACTTTTCCAAGAAATTTAATGAATCTCAGAAAAGAAAGAAAGCTATTACCTAGAATGCCTAGCAATAAAAGAAGCAGTACAGTATTGGCAACACTTGCTCATAGGAAAACACTTCAAAGTGTTTTTTGATCATACGCCGCTAGAAAAAATGAATATCAAAGCTAGAATTGACGAAGAATTAGGGGATTTCACTTTCTACTTATCACAATATGACATGGAAATAATATACCGCCCAGGCAGACATAACTTGGAAGCGGACTATTTAAGCAGAAACCCAGTATTGGAGCCTCAAGAAGACGAAGAAGATAAATTAAAAATTGTCAATCTAATAAAAAAAGAAGATATCATACAAGACCAAGAGGGTAACGAAAATTTAACAAATAAAAAAATAATCTAATATTTGAAGATAATCTATATTATAGAAAAGATAGGAAGAAGAAGAAAATTGTATCATCAGAAAAGTTTTCTAAAAAACTTATAAAAAATATCCAGAAGGTATTTTGCCACATAGGCATAAAACAAATGCATAGCAAAATACTACCTTACTATACGGCAGAAGATATATCAAAAAAGCTTGCAAAAATTGCGAAATTTGCATACAAAATAAATCAAGAAGACAAAGTAAGATTGGTCTAATGTCACATCTCGGTCCCGCAAAAAAGCCGTTTGAAGTGGTTTCCATAGATACAATCGGTGGATTCGGTGGTTCACGACCCACTAAAAAATACTTACACCTTCTAGTACTTCATTTTAATAGATTTGCATACATACTAACATCAAACACACAAAGCGCGAGGGATTTCATTAAATTGACAGAAAATGTGCTAAGAAACCATAACATCGAAATACTTTTAACTGACCAATACCCAGGCATAAATTCTAAAGATTTCAAAAATTTCCTAGAAGAAAAAATATCATAATGATCTTTACAGCAGTTAACGCACCATTCTCGAATGATTTGAATGAAAGACTCAATCAAACTTTAGTAAATAAAACTAGATGTGTAATAAGTGATGAAAAAAAGAACAAATGTGCATGGACAAGCATAGCACATAACTGTGTAAATAAATACAATGAAACCGAGCATACAGTAACAGGGTTTAGTCCAAAACATTTATTACTAGGTAAAGATACATCAGTATTACCAGAGGAATTGAAAAAAAAGAAAGATAGTAATGATCTAGAGAATGATGGAGCAATTGCCTTTGAAACCAGTAAAAAATCATTACTACAATAAAAAACTGTATGACAAAAATAGGATAGATTATAATTTCAAGGTCGGAGAACTAGTATATGTTGAAAATGGTAACCGACTGAACCGAAAAAAATTAGATGTATTAAGAATTGGACCTTACAAAATCCCAAGGAAAATATCAAATTCTATATACTATATAGGATAGAGACTATTATAAAACTATGGACGGGACAATTTTTCAAAATTGGGTGGTTACTCAGCTCATTCCTGCTTTGGCAAAGTTGAACCAAAAATGTGTGGTGGTTTTAGACAATGCACCGTATCATTCGGTTCAGTTGGATAAACCACCCACTTTTTCTAGTAAAAAACGTGAAATGCAGGAATGGCTCTTTAAACATAGTGTTGAATTTGACAAAAAAATTTCGAAGAAACAGTTGTGGTATTTAATTAAACTCTTCAGAAACAATAGAAAAAAAGATATTTGGTAGACGAGACATTAAGAGAAAGTGACCATGAAGTTCTTAGATTACCTCCGTACCATTGTCAATACAATCCAATTGAAATGGCGTGGGGAGTTTCTAAGAACTTTTACAACAAGCATATAAATTCTCAACATTCATTAAAAAAATAGGGTGGAGAATTTATGGCTTGAGGCGCTTTCTAAATGTACTCCAAGCATGTGGCAAAATTTTGGTAAACATTGTGAAAAACTTATTTTGGCAGATTGGGAAAAAATATGGGAAATCTTTCGTACGAATCTACCTCCTTTCATTATTTCGCTAGGTGAATCTGATTCAGAATCTGAATTTGAAAATGACGGTGATGATACAGATTTTCTTAGCGAAGTAATGGAAATGGAGTGAATTGTAGCTTGTCGGGAGGTAATATTTGTACGCATCTTTCGAGGTAGTATGTGAAAAACTACTTGACATACAACAAAATAAGTATAATTTTAGTTAGATAATCCACGTTGTTACTTTGCACCAAATTTTAAGCATTTTCATTTTTTTGTAACTCTTCATGGACCTGGAGAAGGCGTACAGTAACGTTCTTATTAATAAGCGTTACTTAGAAAAAACAAATAAAGAGCATTTACGTAAGCATTAGTAATAGCTGTATAGATAAATCATTCAATTTAAGGCCGGAAAAATGATTCAGAAGAGCTAAACCCATCAAAGTACTAGAGCAAGGTTGTTGTCTTTTACCAATCCTTTTAGTAATCTTAGAAAAGTGAAAAAAGAAGTTGGAAGATGTGGAAATAGGCTGTTTACAAAGGTCGAAATTTCCATTTCTAAGAAGAGTGGCCGAGCAGAACGAACTGATGATTGAGAATTAAAGTTTAGATGCTAAATGTGGCATGCGACAATAGTTGTATGTAGAACCCCCATTCATATAAAAACAATGTTTTAGTGAAATTTTATTGTTTGTTCCTTTAATTTAATAAAACACAACCTAACGAAAAAAGTTCTGGGAATTTTTATTCTTCTGCATCGAATACCAACAAACTCACTAGATTTTCATGGCCAACCCTACTATATAAAGATCGTGATCGGATAATAGATGTATGTTGTGTTGCGCGCTGAGACTTTTTTTGTGTGAGCTCAAATATATAATAACTAATAACAGTATCTTTTGGATCCAAAAATGACTCTAGACTTCTTCCTATATTCGGGGTGAGTGCTCTTTTATGAATCATTTGTAAACACATATTATGTCATATTTTTCTCATGCACTCCCGGTATTTGCACTACATACCACTGTTAAATTCTAAGGTCACTATTCTCAGTAATTCGCAAAAATCACCGTGTTTATTTACCAAAAAACAAAGCAGATGAAATCGACGCTAACCCCATAATTTAAGATTCATTCTGCGTTTCGGCCCCATGGGTAAACTGAAACAGCGAGTGACTCGACGTTCACCTTCTCAATCGAGTTTCATTTTTTGTCGTTAATTGCCAAGATAAGCAAAGTTACGCAGATGCCTAAACAATGTGTAATTCTGCCAACAAGGTTGTTTATGCATATTTACATGTCTTATCGGGTATATTGGCAACAGTGGTAAACTGCTCTTGGTACAAGCGTAAACCCCACGTCTAATACATAGGTCCAGTGTGTGTATGGTTGATGGCTCAGTATTTCTACTTCCACAAAGAATGACTAAACATCACGAGCCGCCGCCACCATACGAGCACACCCCCAAAATGCCGTCTCATACCAGTGTTTCGTCATCCGGACAACCACGTAAGTTGTTGTTTTGTTATTCGTGTTCAAGGTTTTATTATTTATGATTTATGGGTAGCGTCTCAAGGGTTTTTAGATGTAATATTCCACCGCTATATTTCCGTCAAAAAGTTATCTAATAGAATTGTGGTTGAACATAATACAGAGTCGCTAAAAACGAGAACGGTTTGTTGAATCTTTTTGGAATTGGGACTATCCCTAGGAATATTCAAGTTCTATTGTCTGCAATTTTTTCAAATTTTCTTTAAAAATTATACTAGTGCCCAATCATTGTAAAAAAGATATACTTAACAATAATTTTACAACAAATATTCAAATTGTTCTCCATTTACTTCCTGGCAATAGTGAATACGTTGCGCAAAATTTTCAAATGAATTTGTTAGAATATTGGGAGGAATAGCCGCAATCACATTTAATATTCTTTCTTGAAGTTGTTCAATGCTTTGTGGTCTATTAAAGTAAATTCGATTTTGTACGTAACCCTACAGAAAAGGTCAAGTGGGGTTAAATCGAGTGACCCAGCTGGCCACTCAACTGCTCCCCTTCGTCCATTCCACCTTACAGGAATAACACAATTGTTATATTTGTCCAGATTGTTTCCGTGTCATGAGTCATGGACATATTGGAATCAATGCACTCATTTGGATTTAATTTTTATCATCGGCCTTGACTTTGTTTAGCACTGTACTATTAGAGTGATTTTATTCTACATATTTTCGCAAAAAACTATTAAATGCATAGCGCGATAATTTCTGTAGGTATTGTTGTGTACAGAGATTAGTGTTTTATTGGTTGCATAAATTATAATACATTAAATGGAAAATTGACATTAAACTTTTTTTCCTTTATAAAATAATTACATTTTATATAGAAATCACACGACAAGAGTTGAAAATGTTCACCGTTATATTCCAAATACATAAATATTTCTATTTATTCCCCCCAAAAAATTGATGACGTCATCTCAAAATTTTGCCGAATAAATTCTTCCCAAAATGTGATTCATATTTTTTAGATTTGTTTAAACAAGTGGCTCAAAAAATTAAAGAATGAGTCAATTCATTTTATTGATTGAAACAGCAACGGCTCACTCCATTTTCGCAGAAAATTTTAGGAATACAATACTGTAATTTTTAATACTACACTGCACCAATCCAAGTTGATATATGTGTCCTTGTTTTTTCTTGAACTGGTAATACGCTGTGACTACCTTTCGTTTGTGCGGTGACTATTATTATTCATGTTGATGACGTCGTCACAATTTTTTTATTGTTCAAAATAGAATTATAGTATTCAGAACATTTTGTTCGATTATGGTTTTACGAGTATTAATAATTTTAGTCCTGTGTTTTGAGAAGACAAACTCATTCAAATCAAACTATTATCCGTTCACGATCTTTATATAGTAGGGTTGGCCATGAAAATCTAGTGAGTTTGTTGGTATTCGATACAGAAGAATAAAAATTCCCTGAACTTTTTTCGTTAGGTTATGTTTTATTAAATTAAAGGTTAAAAAATATGCCAGAAATATAAACACTGTTGCCGATACTTCCAGTTTTCAGAAGCAATGACCAAGTTAACGGTATCCATTTCTTAGAAAGCATAAAACTTTACGCTATTTAAAACAGTTATTCGGCTTTTTGTAAGTGTTTATATCATATGTAAGGAACAAACACTAAAATTTCGCTTAAACATTGTTTTTATATGAATGAGGGTTCTACATACGACTATTGTCGCATGCCACATTTAGCATCTCATCTTTAATTCTCAATCATCAGTTCGTTCTGCTCTTCCATTCTTTTTACAAATGGAAATTTCGACCTTTGTGAACAGCCTATTTCTATATCTTCCAACTTCTTTTTTCACTTTTCTAAGATTACTAAAAAGGTTGGTAAAAGACAACAACCTTGCTCTAGTGCTTTGATGGGTTTAGCTCTTCTGAAACATTTTTCCGGCCTTAAAGTGAATGATTTATCTATATAGCTATTACTAGTGCTTACGTAAGTGCTCTTTATTTGCTTTTACTAAGTACTTCCAAACGCTTATTAATGAGAACGTTACTCTACGCCTTCTCCAGGTCCATGAAGAGTTACAAAAAAAATTAAAATGCTTAAAATTTGGAGCAAAGTAACAACGTGAATGATCTAACTAAAATTATACTTATTTTGTTGTACGTCAGGTAGTTTTTCACATACTACCTTCGTAAATTTACAACGAAAGATGCGTAAAAATATCACCCCCCGACAAGCTACAATTCCATTTCCATTATTTCGCTATGAAAGTCTGTATCATCACCGTCATTTCCAAGTTCAGATTCTGAATCAGATTCACCTAGCGAAATGAAGAAAGGAGGTATAGATTCGTACGAAAGATTTCCCATATTTTTCACAATGTTTACAAAAATTTTGCCACATACTTGGAGTACATTTAGAAAGCGCCTCAAGCCATAAATTCTCCACCATATTTTTTAATGAAGGTTGAGAATTTATATGCTTGTTGTAATAGTTCTTACAAAATACCCACGCCATTTCAATTGGATTATATTGACAGTGGTACGGAGGTAATCTAAGAACTTCATGGCCACATTCTCTTAATGTCTCGTCTACCAAATATCTTTTTTTTTCTATTGTTTCTGAAGAGTTTAATTAAATCCCACAACAGCCTGTTTCTTCGAAAATTTTTTGTCAAATTCAACACTATGTTTAAAGAGCCATTCCTGCATTTCACATTTTTTACTAGAAAAAGTGGGTGGTTTATCCAACTGAACCGAATGATACGAACTGTCTAAAACCACCACACATTTTTGGTTCAACTTTGCCAAAGCAGGAATGAGCTGATTAATCACCCAATTTTGAAAAATTGTCCCGTCCATCGTTTTAAGTATGATAGTCTCTATCGTTATTTTTTGAATTTAAAATATTGTTACAACCACCCCGTTGAACAACCCGCGTGGAGAATAGTAAACCTTGATCCGTCACTTTTAATTTTGGTGGGAACACAAGAATTTAGAAACTGTAAATATGTTCTCAAAAAAGTAATTTAGGCTGCAACGACATGTTTTTGTTCACATAGAATTTTGCGACCATTTACTTCCCTGTGTTTATAACCCATTGACTTAAGAATTTTGTATAATGTGGTTCGCCCCCCTTTAAATTCCAACTGCCATAAAATATGCCAAAAGAGTACCTATCTACAGTGAAATATTCGTTTTTTTCATTAAGTTGCCAAATTTGTCGTTGCAGGTCTTTCCGAAACATATAATTTGTAAATAAATCCGTTGGTTTTCGCTTGCCAGATAGTGATGTTTTTAAATTTTGGTCCCCTGTTGATAAAATTTTTGCCACAGTTGATGTTCCCACCTATGAAAAAAAAAATTTAAAAATATTTTACAGCGTATTTTTACATTACAGAAAATATGTTCGAGACCCTCATAGTTACTTCTTCGAAAGAAAGAAAGATCGGATCTGTCTTTTCGAAACTGCAAAAAACATCTTTTTATTGCAATTTTTTGTTGCAGTAAAACTATTTTAGGCATTTTTTTTTAAATAATGTCGCAATGATCTGTGAATCTGTCACAATGACAAATTATCTATGCTTGTTTGCTTAATTAAAAAATTTCGTCTAATAATTTTGATCTAATAAATGAAGTAGAAAAGTGGCAATCCAGCTCAAAGCAAATGTCAATCAGACTACTGACAGACAAAAAACTAAATCATCAAATCAGTTTATCCAACTTAAAGAAAAAATATCAAAGCCCACTTTTATATAAAGACCGTTAATTGATAATATTTTTTACGTGACATTCTTTTGAGGTATAAACATAAATAAACACTTGAGCGTCGGATTGCTATTACCGAGGGGTAAACCGCCGACCATCAAGTATAGAATTGATTTCCTTTTGACAATGATTTCCTGTTGATTTCCCCCGATTTCTTTTGATTTCCTCTGATTTCCTTTGATTTCCTGTGATTTCCTTTGATTTTCTTCGATTTCCTGTGATTTCCTTTGATTTCTTGTGATTTCCTTTGATTTTCTTCGATTTCCTGTGATTTCCTTTGATTTCCTGTGATTTCCTTTGATTTCCTGTGATTTCCTCTTGATTTCCTGATTTCCTGTGATTTCCTCTTGATTTCCTATGATTTTCTTTTGATTTCCTCAAAATTTGTTTACATAATGTACTACAGGGCGATTTTTAACTTTTTTTTAACTTGACTTTTTGTTTTGCCGATAATGATGTTGAATTTAAACCTTTTTTTACCAAGTGTTTACTAACGTACGGTGAATAGGTAAGCTGAAGTGCCTTCCCTTTTGACGAAAAAAATAAATAAATAAAATGTATTGTGCTGCTAAGCAACAAACTGAAATGTTTAAGAAAAAAAATCTGATTTTACTTACAAAAAGAACGCTACTCTGAAATCGAGGTTTTAGATGTCTAAATCAATAGAGTAAGTATACGTTCGAATTTTACACTTTCTTGGGTCAAATGTTTGTTCTAAAAGTGGACATATGCAAAATTTTAGATTTTTTGCACATTCAGTCAGAAAACTTTATGGTCTATTTTAATTTTGAAATTAAAAATTAGTTCTGCAAATTAGTTCGTTTAAATCACTCAAAGATTTAATAAATTATATTATAAATTATTATTAATTTTTTAATAAATTATGTTATGAAATTTTGCTTTTGACTTTACGAAATTAAAAGTACATAAGGCCAAGGATATTTTTAGTTACGTCAGCAGTTTTTACTTGTCAGGGACTCATAAGGCAACAACGACTGGCTCATACGTTCACAGAGGTAATTAATGAATACCAGATTGTCCAAAATCATTCTATTAGGTTCATCTCTGTGTTGTGCGTACAAGATCATGTTAAAGTTTGACCTACTAAATCAAACTTATAATAATAACTTAAGTCATTACTTTTTAAAATTTGGGTTTATTCATTTATTAATTATTATGGTAACATAAACAGAAAAAAAAAGTAGTTTCATTTATTTTATTA